GCATAATAAAGAAGCTAGTATAAAATCTACTTTTAGCATAATAAAGAAGCTAGTATAAAATCTAGCTTTAGCATAATAAAGAAGCTAGTATAAAATCTACCTTTAGCATAATAAAGAAGCTAGTATAAAATCTAGCTTTAGCATAATAAAGAAGCTAGTATAAAATCGAGCTTTAGCATAATAAAGAAGCTAGTATAAATCTCTAACTCATTAATATCTGTCTTTTCTCTTCTTTGACACTTTCTAAAGTTGAGAAATTTCCAGTGGTGCCACAGTTCTCTGTAGGAACCACTGAAGTTGACGATTCAAAAGTGATGAAGATGTGAAAATCAGAGGAACCCGGAGGACGTGACACGCGTCTGAACCGTGTTTGGTATTTCTCTCCGTGTCAGAAACTCAAAAACAAGAGAAAAAAAAATCAAACGGAGAAAAAATTCCTTCGGCCAATCGGCTTCCTCCGTTCAGAACTCCATGCACCGGTTCATGAAAGACTTTTAAAAACCGTGTTATTGGAAAATGTGTCTCGCTTCAAACATGCGGAAGAAAAATTTTATCATTAATGACTTTTTCTTTTGACACATTCTCAGCGATGGAGAGAAACAGAGAAGGAGAGAGCGACAGGTCTGGTCTAAAACTCCACAAAGAGACAAGAAACAGAATAAATATGACCTGAGAAAGTAACAAAGTAACACGTGTAAAACAGGGCAACATTATGGTAATGTAGCTCGCGAAAATTCAATTTGGTAGACGTCAGCCAAAAGCTACCCCCTCCAGGCCGGTTCGCTTCCCCAGCCTATCGCTCGGCAAACGCCCCCTTCCAATCATCCGTGCCGGACAGGCAGCCGCTTAAAAGCGGAGCAACTCCCACTCTCTGCCTTCTCGAAGCCTCGCAAGCTCCTGAAGCCTTGCAGAGAATCGTCTGGAGGAATCGTTTTCGTCTACTCACGCTACTCGGCGCGTCCCTGGCGTCCTCCGTCTGGCTGCTTGTGGTCTGCTCCTCCTCCGCGTCCCTGCACTGGTCTGCTCCTCCTCCGCGTCCCTGCACTGGTTTGCTCCTCTTCCACGTCCCTGCACTGCTGTGGTTCGCATATCCCCACTGCTCTCCTCCTCTGCGGGCTCTTTCTGCGGGCTGCTCCGCGGGGCCCTCCGCGGGTTTATGTGCGGCTCGTTCCTTGTGGTCTGCTGCCGCACGCAGAGGTCTGGCGGTGCCGTGCGTGTCCCTGCCTCGATTGGCGGTGCCGCGTTGTCCCGTTGCTTTTCCCAAGTCTCCTGGCATGTGAGTACAGTGTGTGTGCCGACCGCGGACAGATTAATCCCGGAGTTCTGGGCTGCAGGCGGCTGGTTTTTGCCCTACGCACTTGACTGCAGGCGCCAGTTTTTTCGCCCCGAGCTTGGTCTGCAGGCTCCGTTTCACATGTGTTTGAGCTAACTGAGGGGCAATGCATATTAAATGGCATCAATCTCTATCGTCTGAGGGATATACGAGGAGCTATGTGCATTAATTCAGATCATGTTCTGCCACTTGCAGTAAAACCATGCATAAATAGCTAGGTCGCTGGTATTAAATTAGGTAACTAACTGCAGTGTTGCATTTTTGAAAGTGCAGCAGGAAGAAAAAGGGCCGAACGTGAATCTGCAATGGGTGGAAATAGTGTTGGAGCTATGAACGCATGGATCAGTGGTCGTTCATGCGCATCTGCCATAACCAAAGCAGAAGATGGCTCCAGGGGACGTCTGTTATTCGCATGGGAATGTTTCGGATTCGGGTTGATTTATTCCCTCAGGCTCTTAAACAACCGTGGGTTGGTTCTCTGACCGCCGCTGCTGCCGGTCCCCGCTGCCGTTCCTACTGATGCCTGATCCCGCCGCTGCTGTTCCTGCTGCCGCTCCTGCTGCTGCCTGTTCCTGCTGCCGCTCCTGCTGCTGTCTGTCCCTGCTGCTGCTCCTGCTGCTCCTACTACTACATGTGCCGCTGCCGTTCCGCAGGCTCCCAGGCTGCACCCGTCTCTGTGGCTCGGCTCTTTCAGACACGTACGTAACCTGGCTCACGGAGACAAGCGGCGCACGCCGGCGTGACACGTCTGTCTGTTCGTATGAATCGCTTCGTGGTGCTGCTGCTCCTGCTAATGCTGCTTCTGCTGCTTCATACTGTTACCGCTACTGCTGCTACTGCTGCCGCTGCTGCTTCATACTGCTACTACTGCCGTGCTGCTGCTGCTTCATGTACTTCGTCATCTCTCTTCACTTCGCTTCTCTTACTGAAACACTAAACAGCTACAACATATTCTACTGCCGTGGCTTTGATACAGGGTTTTGCCGTTATTATCTACGGATGCAGCAGCTGCTGCTGCCGCGGCTGATACAGGTCGTTGCCGTTATTATCTGAGGTTACTGCCGCTGCTGCTACTGCTACTGCTACTGCTGCAACCCACTCTCTCAGAAGCTTATCCTGCTTCTAATGGATGCAGCCCGGCCGAGTATGCCGCGCGGCACTGGACTCGCACCTATGCTCCCAGGGTCACTTCGGCGGTCGTGCTTCATCTCTCTACTTAATCTTCTGATTCTATCAGATGCAGCTGGCCGAGTAGCTGCGCTGAGCCGTCAATTGGACTCCTAATCAAAGGCATCCATACCGTGTTCTTCACTCTTCTGATCGCAGGCTCCCCATCATGCTGCCCATCCTGCAGCGGCACTGAACTCCGGCTCATCTTCCAAGTACATGTCTGCCCTCCTCGCAGCATCTTCCTGCTCGCCTTCCATGGCTTCTCTGCATAAGCGTTCACTACTGCACACTCAACCTTCGTGCGGTCCGAGACACGGCTTTTCCCGACCATCCTACTATCCTGATTATCTACTCTCCAACCCAAGATTCTAAGCGTAAGGGCGCCTGCAACTTCATGGCCCTCTCCGATATGTCTCTGCCCCTCCAGGTCTCGGCTTCTACACGGACGTGCCCCTTCCGTGGGTTTTGGGGGGTTTATTTCCAGGACCATCGCGGCCTCGCTGGGGCTCCCCCACACCTCTCTGCAACAGCTGGGGCGCCGGTCCTCTGCGGCTTTCTCCGCCTACATCAGGCCAGACGCGTCCGCTATCCTGCCTGCACAACGTCAACTGGCTTCCTCGTAAGCTCCCAGCAAAGCAATACGAAGCAAAGTAAGTGAACCAATAAGATTCTGGTGGCGGCACGCACTTCTCTCAAACACTCTCCGCTGCCGCAGCGTCTGACGGAACGTGATGCGAGCGCTCACGTTCCCAGCGCGCAAAGACAACCCTGCCGCAGCGTCTGGTTGATCGTGATGCGAGCGCTCACGTCCCAGCGCTCAAAGATAACCCTGCCGCAGCGTCCGGTTGATCGTGATGCGAGCGCTCACGTCCCGGCACTCAAAGATAACCGCATATAACGGTCACAGCACATAGTGATAGCGGTCATAGCGTTAGTGATAGCGGTCATAGCGTCAGTGATAGCGGTCATAGCGTCAGTGATAGCGGTCATAGCGTCAGTGATAGCGGTCATAGCGTCAGTGATAGCGGTCATAGCGTCAGTGGTAGCGGTCATAGCGTTAGTGTTAGCGGTCACAGCATAGCAAAAAATGGTTAGCGCATAAACGGTTCACAGCATAGAGATAGCGGTCACAGCATAGCGATAGCGGTCACAGCATAGCGATAGCGGTCACAGCATAGCGATAGCGGTCACAGCATAGCGATAGCGGTCACAGCATAGCGATAGCGGTCACAGCATAGAGTAGCCACGACGTCTGTTCCCTGCAAACCAGGCTGCAAAACTCCATCAACACACTCAGCCTTTTTGGGGATTGTACGCGCTCCATCGCAGGAGCCTCTCCGATCTGAAGGCCGCACCGGGGCCTAGGGCGCCAAACCACCTCAATAAATACTCAAAACCATTTTCGTTTCTCGTCTCTCCAAATTGAAATGTAGCTCGCGAAAATTCAATTTGGTAGACGTCAGCCAAAAGCTACCCCCTCCAGGCCGGTTCGCTTCCCCAGCCTATCGCTCGGCAAACGCCCCCTTCCAATCATCCGTGCCGGACAGGCAGCCGCTTAAAAGCGGAGCAACTCCCACTCTCTGCCTTCTCGAAGCCTCGCAACCACCGCCTCCCCTCCTCCTCCTCTTCACCCTGCCTCCAACCTGCCTCCAATCTGCCTCCAATCTGCCTCCAATCTGCCTCCAATCTGCCTCCAATCTGCCTCCAATCTGCCTCCAATCTGCCTCCAATCTGCCTCCAATCTGCCTCCAATCTGCCTCCAATCTGCCTCCAATCTGCCTCCAATCTGCCAAAATGCCGCCACCAGTGCCTAGGTCCCGGGGGATTGTACGCGCTCCATCGCAGGAGCCTCTCCGATCTGAAGGCCGCACCGGGGCCTAGGGCGCCAAACCACCTCAATAAATACTCAAAACCATTTTCGTTTCTCGTCTCTCCAAATTGAATTATTATTATTATTACAATACAATACAATACAATACTGTATATTATTATTATTATCATTTGTTATTAGTATTATCATCATTATTGATATTATTATTATCATCATTATTGATATTATTATTATTATTATCATCAATATATATTTATGTATTAATTATCATTTTTTATTTTTATTATTATTCATATTATTGCTATTATTATTATCATCATCATTGTTATTATTATTATCATATGGCTAAAATAGACAAAGACAAGTGGAGGCAGCAGGAAATGTCTTTATACATACTTGATAATAATAATATTGATAATAATAATACTCTTTATTTATAATGCACTTTACATTTTCAGAAAAATACTTCTATTGTATATATACAGTATATTATAGTGTACATACTACTAGTATTTTATTTATTACACACACTACTATAGTATACCGCTACTATAGTATACACACTTCTATATAACACTGAGACTTGAGCAGCTGCAGGGACTCCACACACTGAGACCCGAGCAGCTGCAGGGACTCCACACACTGAGACCTGAGCAGCTGCAGGGACTACACACGCTGAGACCTGAGCAGCTGCAGGGACTCCACACACTCAGACCTGAGCAGCTGCAGGGACTCCACACGCTGAGACCTGAGCAGCTGCAGGGACTCCACACACTGAGACCTGAGCAGCTGCAGGAGGCTCCACACTGAGACCTGAGCAGCTGCAGGGACTCCACACACTGAGACCCGAGCAGCTGCAGGGACTCCACACACTGAGACCTGAGCAGCTGCAGGGACTCCACACACTGAGACCTGAGCAGCTGCAGGGACTCCACTCACTGAGACTTGACCAGCTGCAGGGACTCCACACTAAGACCTGAGCAGCTGCAGGAGGCTCCACACACTGAGACCTGAGCAGCTGCAGGCACTCCACACACTGAGACCTGAGCAGCTGCAGGGACTCCACACACTAAGACCCGAGCAGCTGCAGGGACTTCACACGCTGAGACCTGAGCAGCTGCAGGGACTCCACACGCTGAGACCTGAGCAGCTGCAGGGACTCCACACACTGAGACCTGAGCAGCTGCAGGGACTCCACACGCTGAGACCTGAGCAGCTGCAGGGACTCCACACGCTGAGACCTGAGCAGCTGCAGGGACTCCACACACTGAGACCTGAGCAGCTGCAGGAGGCTCCACACTGAGACCTGAGCAGCTGCAGGCACTCCACACACTGAGACCCGAGCAGCTGCAGGGACTCCACACACTGAGACCTGAGCAGCTGCAGGGACTCCACACCCCGAGTATCAGAGACCGAGGCTTTGTTGTGAAATGCTTTTAACAAAAACATCGTCGAGAGTGGAGTGAATGTCAAAGTGAAGCCGCCGCGACGATCAATATTGACCGACACTCCCTGGTTTTCATGTTAGCTTAAACAAACACACAGAGAGCTACGCTAATGTCCTGGTGATGGCTCAGAGAGACACCGGAGACAAAGGTGCTGCTCTGGGACTCAACAGGTCCACCCACACACACACATACACATACAGACACACAGACAAAGACAGAGACATAGACGCACACACACAGACATACTCACACAGACACACACACATAGGGGGACACACATACTCTCACACAAACACACACACTCATACACACACAGGCCTGGGACACACACACAGACACACACACACAGGCCTGGGACACACACACAGACACGCACACACACACACAGTCAAAAACACACACATAGAGACAGAGACACACACACACACATACACACACACACACACACAAACACAGACACACATAGAGACAGAGACGCACACACACATACAGACACACACACACATAGAGACAGAGACACACACATACAGACACACACACACTCACACACAGACACACACAAACACAGGCCTGGGACACACGCACAGACACAAACACACACAGAGAGACAGAGACACACACACATACAGACACACAAACACACACACAGACACACACACACTCTCTGGGACAAAGGCAGAGCAGCACAAAGGTGTCGTGCTTCTGCAGAGTCACACCCAGAGTCTACACTCGGCTGCGCAGGTTAAGTGGCGCGGCTGTAAGTGTGTGTACACAAACGTTTAGTTCTATCTGCTGGCTCCATCACCAGCCTGATCTATGGAGAGGCCGCCCCCTGACAGCTGACACGCCGGGTGACCTCAGGGAAGTGCTCAGGAGCGCAGGGGCAACAGTCATTACACTAATTCAAGTTCATAAAGACACTGGTCCATAATCCAAAGGTTTTAGTGACTGGGGTCTGCTCTACTCGGCTCAAGTCTATCTGTGTGAGAGACCAGGGAGAGAGACCAGAGACCAGGGAGAGAGACACCAGAGAGAGAGAAACCAGAGAGAGACTAGAGATACCAGAGAGAGACCAGGGAGAGAGAGAGAGACCAGAGAGAGACCAGGGAGAGAGAGAGAGACCAGAGAGAGAGACCAGAGAGAGACCAGGGAGAGACCAGAGAGAGAGACCAGAGAGAGGGAGAGCAGAGAGAGAGGAGAGATACCAGAGAGAGAGACCAGAGAGAGACCAGAGAGAGACCAGGGAGAGACCAGAGAGAGAGACCAGAGCGAGACCAGAGAGAGGGAGAGCAGAGAGAGACCAGAGATACCAGAGAGAGAGACCAGAGCCGTTCTAAATGTTTTAATGTTAGGGGAATCCAGCGCACCTGGAGGAAACCTACGCAGACACGGGGAGAACACGCAAACTCCACACAGAAACACCCTGCTCCAACCAAGATTTGAACCCAGAACCTTCTGCTATCCACTCAGCCACTGTTATTTACTGTATCTAGAATATAAATTGAATCAACAACACAGTATTTTCAGTTCCATTTTTATGCTCTGGCTTTTAACACTTTTATTTTATTTTATTGCTATTTTTACATTCAGACAAAAACACACACATGGTTTTTCATATTTGATCTTGAATGATTTTATTATTTTGATGTGGATTTGTTAGTCTTTCTTTGTGCAGCACTCTCCTAACGTGTGTTAATGAAATGTGTTATAAACAAAGTGGATTCAGAAACAGCCTGGTCCAAAAGTCTGAGCACCCTTTGTGTGGCTAGCTTGGCTGTAGCTAGCTTGGCTGTAGGTACCGCGGCGGCGCTAACAGGAGGGAGCGGGAGGAAACCGGAGCCAGTGAGAATGGACTCATTGTTGCTTTGGGTTAATTAGGCGTGACCAGCGAGGCGTGAACAGAGCCCGTCAGCCCGAGTCCTAAAAAGCCCGTTAGAATCAATGGGCCACACTCCGCTCAGACTCGGCGTCTCCTGCCGCGGCCGCGCAGCAGGACACTGGATACGGTTACAGTCACACGGCAACCCTATCGGCCCGGTCCTAACACCCGCCATCACGCCATTGACGCCGTGTTGGAGAGAAGTGCACGATGGCGAGAAAGGCTCAGGGATCGTGTTTCAGCGGCGAAGAGGGCAAACGAGTCACACTGGGCAGAGAGAGGAGCACGGGATGCTAACCGAGCTAGCTTAAGTGGCTGCTATTGACTAATGTGTGAAAGTAACCGTTTGAGACACTCACTATGTTGGGCTTACAGTAAATGTGTGTTTGCGCTCACTAAGCTGCGGTTAAGGTAAAGTTATTTGTATGGCACGGTTAATACGAAATGCAAGTGCTTTACAAAACAAGATCAAAGAGAGATTTTAAGATTTTCATAAATAAGAAGTCTGTCTCACATTTTAAGGAAGACTGATCAAGATTTTAAGATAGATAAGATATACTTCATTGATCTCACAATGAAAAAATGTAGCTGCAAGAATCTGAAACACTGCCTCCTCATGTTTAGTCCTGACTCTGACACCAGCAGGAGGCCAGTCCCTGTGCTCCTCAGAGTCCCAGCAGGAGGCCAGTCACTCAATAATTTGATAATTGACTTTGAGGAAGTTTTCCAAAAAACTTCTAGTACCAAAGTCTCGTACCAAAGTCTCGTACCAAAGTCTCGTACCAATGTTGCTAAATGTCATAAAGTGCTGCGGGGGTTCCCCTGCTGTGCCCTGGCTTTGTCCTGATGTGTTAAACCCTGAGCCTCCAAATCCTCTGCTCCGACGTTGGCGCCACAGTAGCCAGCCAGTCTCCGCGCCCGTCTGCCCCCCCGCCTCCCGGTGTGGACCCGCTCCCAGACCAGGTCCAGGACTAAGCCCCGGCACCCGCCCAGACAACAGATCAATGCCCCTGCCTCTGTATCGACGGAGCCACTCGGGTCCTGAAGTGGCTGCTAATCCTCTGCTTCTTCCACACTGACGCAGAGCTGGGTCTGCTGCGGTCTGTGGAGGTACGCGGACCTGTGCTTGGGACACACTCTCAGTCTGTGGCGGTACGCGGACCTGTGCTTGGGACACACTCTCACTTTGTGCTCATTCAAGGCCTGGAGTGAAAGGAGCAGACGTCAATGAAACATATTTATGACGACATATGCTTTCTATTGGTTTTATTGGGACTGAGCTAATGCTAACGCCGCCGTAGTGTTAGCCTTAGTGCAGAACAGGTAGACTTTAACATAAGCTAGCTGAGCTCATTTCCTTATATGGGCATTTGTTCTGATGACCTTTTTTTTTCTGCAGTAACTGGGACTAAGATGTCGCTCAGGCAAACTGGAATTTCCCCAGGCTGAATGAAGCCATGTGATTGGTCAATCTTTACATGGCTCAAGTCTGGAGTCTGGAAGACGATATCTAATCATAAACACCAGGAACCAGCTGGGACTCTGAGGAGCACAGGGACTGGCCTCCTGCTGGGACTCTGAGGAGCACAGGGACTGGTCTCTTGCTGGGACTCTGGGGAGCACAGGGACTGGCCTCCTGCTGGGACTCTGAGGAGCACAGGGACTGGTCTCTTGCTGGGACTCTGAGGAGCACAGGGACTGGCCTCCTGCTGGGACTCTGAGGAGCACAGGGACTGGTCTCTTGCTGGGACTCTGGGGAGCACAGGGACTGGCCTCCTGTTGGGACTCTGAGGAGCACAGGGACTGGCCTCCTGCTGGGACTCTGGGGAGCACAGGGACTGGTCTCCTGCTGGGACTCTGAGGAGCACAGGGACTGGCCTCCTGCTGGGACTCTGAGGAGCAAAGGAGCACAGGGACTGGCCTCCTGCTGGTCCTAGAGTCAGCACGAAACATGAGGAGGCTGCATTTCTGAATCATGCAGCAAAAATCTGGAACAGTCTTCAAAAAAAAGTGAGACAGACTTCTTCTCTGACAATCATCAAATCCAGGTAAAAACAGTTCTGTCTTCACTCTCTATAATGAACTGTGATTATTAATGGCGTCCTGGGGTTGTGTCTTGTCCAGCCCTGAGTGGCTGTGTGTGTGTGCGTGTGTGTGTGTGTCTGTGTGTGTGTGAGTGTCTGTGTGTGTCTTTGTGTCTCTGTGTGTGTGCGTGTGTGTGTGTGTGTGCATTCGTGTGTGTGCATTCTGCAGAGGCCTTAAAGCCGTGTGTTATTTCTAAACTCGAAGTGCATTATGCTGTGACTGACTCTGACTATTGTCGCTGTGGTGTGGCAATGTCCGGGTGTCGACAAATGGGGATTAGAACCCACATTAGCACCTCCAGCTAATCCCGCTGCGTCACAGAGACAGAAGCTAACCATGATCCCGGCCCCACACGTGTACGGTGTGTGCTACGACACGTTAGAGCAGCCGAGGAAGACAATGGTCCGACTGCACTGACTCAGAGAAGAAGAAGAAAGAGACAGAAGTGATGTCAGGGACTTTCAGAGACAGATTTTTTTTTTACCTGCGGCCATTTTGAAACAGCCCCATAGAAGACAAAAGTGGTGGCAAATTAGTTTGAAAGGTGAGAATACGCGGGATTACGTTTTATAATACTTACAATCAAACCAAAGTGAAAGCACAGAAAACTGATGTCAAAATATAACAAACAAATAATAGTTGTTGCTGCTGATGTTACTGATTTGATGTGGCTATTAAAATTTAAGTCTGAGTCCAGTATTACCCCTAGATTTCTGACCTTGTTTGAAGGTTTTAGGGAGAGAGACTGTAGGTGACAGATGACGCTCTCTCTTTGTTTCTGAGGACCAAAGACAATCATTTCAGTTTTGTCTGCGTTTAGCTGAAGGAAGTTGTTTTGCATCCACTCACTGATCTGTTGGATACAGTGAAGGAGTGAGTCCACTGGTCCATGTTCTCCTGCAGTCAGTGAGACATAGATCTGAGTGTCGTCTGCATAGTTATGATAGGACACTTTGTTTCTGCGTATTAACTGACCTAACGGCAGCATGTAGAGATTGAACAGAAGAGGTCCCAGGATCGACACCTGTGGTACTCCACAGGTCAGGGCCATATGATCTGAGACACAGTTTCCAATTTCCACAAAGTACTTCCTGTCTTCAAGGTAATTAGTTTCAAAGGCGGGGATAAGCGGGACTACATGTAATAATAATACAGACAATCAAACAGGGGAACAGGAAGTTGAACTAAAATTACAGTTAAAAAAACTATTAAAATAATATAACACCGTGACAATATTATCTCTTCCTTCGAAATTTTTTTACGAGAACCATCTTAGATTCTAAACAAAGTAGGTCCTTCAACTCAAGAATATGTTGTTTTATTATATAATTTATTTTATTATTGCAAAGCACCAGGATCCAAATCAACAATCCAGTAAAAAAACAGTAAATTGTTAAAAAGCACTAAACAAGGGAGTATTAAAAAAACAAAAAAACAGACTGTCAACAACTGTTTAATATGGCGTGTAACAAACAATACAAAAATTAAAAAAGCTATAAACAACAACATTGTCATAAATTGTCCCCCCGCCCTTTATAATATCACTTTACTGCCCTTTATAAAGTCACTTTACTGCCCTTTATAAAGTCACTTTACTTCACTGTACTGGTGTCACCTTACATTGTGTGCACCATGTGCACTTGTATATTGTAAATAGTAACTGTAACTCTAAATTTAAATGTATTCCTTAGAAGTGTTTTTTATTCTTTATTTTTATTATCTCTTTCCGACTGTTGCACTGAGCCAAAGCAATTTCCAAGTCTGTGACTTCCTGTTACTGACGTGGCAATAAAAATTATTCTGATTCTGATAAATTGTTTGTTTTTGTTTCATTTTTCACATGTTTCAGTTAATTTATTATAAGGGCAGAAGTAAAAAAAAGACTTGTGCGCCCGTTTCTGTACAGCCCTAAATCACAACAGTATTATCTCTGAGGAGTGTACAAAGCTGTCGATTCTCCAACACAGATCAGAGAATCAGACAGTTCCAACACAGAGACATTGGTCCATAACGGGGGAAGATAATCAATGTAATAAATGTCCTTAAAAGTCCCGGATCATCCAAAGAAACTGCTCAAAAGCCGAGGCCCACATCAAGTTTTTATCTTGTTGGAAAAAGCCAAAAGCTCAAAGTAATTCCATTGTCCCTGTTTTTACTTTTATGGAAAACCTAAATCATAAATGTCCTCGGATTAGACGCTCTCGATCCGTCGCTGGAAAACCATTTATATTTGATTCTTGTCTGAGGAATGTCAGAATGGTCTGGTGTGACGATGACGAGTGTAATCAGGCGCAGTCGGAGCGCTTCACGCTCCACCGGGCGTCTGCGTCGCGGCTCGTCTCAAACCTGGCAACCGCCGCTCGAGAAGGAAGCGACTCTGTGGATCTGAGACACGGCGCTCTGAGAGGGGCCTTTGATGTGTTTTTTTAAGGCAGGTAAAGTAAATATAGCGTGAAGTGAGCCGGTTCTACTGGTCTCACTGTTTTAATCTGAACAGTTGGTTTGAGAACAGACAAATACATTACGTCTTAACAAAACAATCACACAAGGAAATCAAATCATCACAGTGCATTAAAAACATCCTCCTGATGTTGTTTGAACATTGTCAGAGAAGAAGCCTGTCTCACATCTCCAGGAAGACTGCTCTAGATTTTAGCTGCATTAATCTGAAAGGAGCCAAGCCATTTATGGCTCTGATTGTTAAAAGAAGGATTTTAAACTTTATTCTGTGATTTTAACACCGGCGTTATGTGCTCCCTCGTTTTGGTACCTAGCTGGAAGCTCTTCAAAGAGGTTTTAGGGCATGCTGCCAGCAGGGGGCGCTACAATCAAGCCTTGAGGTGACAAAGGCATGGATTAGTTTTTCTGCGTCACTTTTAGGATATTCCTGATTTTAGCGAATGTTCCACAAGTGGAAATATGCAGTTTTAGTTTCTTGGCTTATATAAGCCTTAAAGGAGATATCTTTGTCAAAAACAACTCCAAGATTCCAGTTTTGTACCCCTGCTGGGTATAATACTGACATTATCAGAGTGATTATCTGGTTAGTGAGGGAGTCACGCAGGCGCTTCGGACCGAGTAGGATCACTTTTGTCTTCTCCGGGTTGAGAAGTAGGAAGTTAAGAGTCATCCACGTTTTAAGGTCCTTTATGCAGGCACTGAGCTTTTCCAGCTGATCTGTCTGATTTGGCTTCATCGACAGATAAAGCTGTGTGTCATCTGCAAAGCAGTGGAAATTAATTCCATGCTTTTTAATAATGTGTCCTAACGGCAGCATGTAGAGAGTGAAAAGAATCGGTCCGAGTACCGAACCCTGCGGCACACCGAATTCCACTCCAGAATAAGGCGACGAGTTCTGATTTACGTTGACAAAGTGATACCGATCTGATGAATAGGATTTAAACCAGCCAAGGGCTGTTCCTCTGAGTGATGTCACATTCTACGCTGTACATGTTTTAGCAGCTTACCACATTAACAAACAAAGTGCTGCAAGTGCAAAGCTTCTGTTTTGACTAGCACTTGTTACTCTTTCTTCAGCTGTGACGGTGAGACCTCTTTGAAGAAGTTTTATTCATGACCGACATAAGATCTGTCAGCTGCGGCGGCTGCACGTGTCAGAGATCAGGGCGAGGTGTAGCTCAGACACGTGTGGTTGGGCCAAACACTGAAAAGCACTCACATCTCACATCAGGAGCCGGATTGCACTTGGCAGGAGTCTAGTACTTTTTTGGTGTAGCACTTTTTTTGCAGAATTGTTTGACAAAAAGGATGTCTGTTCAGGAGTGAAGTGCGACCTCCCTCCGCCCGATCCCACACCAATGAAGTTTTTATCCATCCGGCTATTTTCTTCTGCTTTATCCATGGACTTCCCTCTCCACAGGCGCTTCCATCGAGCTGAGAGACTCTACTCTACTCTACTACAAAGTTGTTGAGTTCAGAGAATCAAACTGTTTGAACACAAGGAATACAATATTGCAAACATATAGGGGCCACACCAAAGAGACCAGAAAGAAACCAGAGAGAGACCAGAGAAACCAGAGAGAGACCAGAGAGAGACCAGAGAAACCAGAGAGAGACCAGAGAGAAACCAGAGAGAAACCAGAGAGAGACCAGAGAAACCAGAAAGAGACCGGAGATAGACCTGAGATAGACCAGAGAAACCAGAAAGAGACCAGAGAGAGAGAGAGACCAGAGCGAGCTCGGATGGCCGCTGTCTGTACATGTTTCCTAAAGGCCATAAATAATCTGAATCAAACCGTTCTCTGCTGTTTCCGTTGCTCTGACATCTACAAACGTCTGTTATTGGTTGAAGCAGTTGTACAAAATGTCAGGGGCCTCGGCGTGCTCCTAATCAGGCCTGACACCAGACTCGGGGGCCCCCACATCCTGCACTAGCCCTCACTAATTTCAGCCTCTCTGCACTATCCGTCAGATGAGAGGGACCGGGGCCAGGGCAGCGCTTCAATCAGTCCTCGCTGACGCCAAATGGTTTCCAGAGCGATGCCAGGGCCATTACAGACGGGCCTCGACCTGCTCGGGATCAGGACGAGTTACTGCGCACGAGTCGGGAACCCAAGACTGACACTTTCAACTCCAGAATCCGAGGCTTTGACGTGAGCGTTCGGGAAAATAGCGAAAGGAAACAGGAATCACACAATCACCAGAGACTTCCCCGTCGACTTTAAACTGAGATTATTGTGATTTGTTCGGGTTTGATTCAGAGAAGTCAGAGTCAGACACGGTTTTTAAATGTTGTGAGAAAAGGCTCTGTGCGTCCCTCAGTGTGGACTTTGTGAATATATTATCATTTCAATTTTATTTTAAGTGAATCTTCTTTTTATCCATTTTTTAATTTGTGATTGATTTTATTCAGTACCAATTAAACAGTAAGTAAGTACCCCCCCCCACACCCGCTGAGTTTAACCCAAAAGTACTAACAGTATTTGGGTTTTTACATGCCCACACATACTGTGCTTTTTGAGTTCTGGAAGAGAGAAAAAAAATGTCAATTTAATTTCAATGTGATTTTGAACATCTTGTGAATCTGCCGCTCCAGCTCCAGTGAGAGAGTGGACTCTATAAGTACCTGTGTTCATCAGAACCACAGACTGGACCGGACTCAGAACACAGACGCCCTCTTCACGAAGGGCCAGAGGCGACTCTACTGTGCTCCAGCGTTGTGATGTCACACTCTGCCCTGGCCCTGTGCCCCTGTGTTGTGATGTCACACTCTGCCATGGCCCTGTGCTCCAGCGTTGTGATGTCACACTCTGCCCTGGCCCTGTGCTCCTGCGTTGTGATGTCACACTCTGCCCTGTCCCTGTGCTCCCGTGTTGTGATGTCACACTGTCCCTGTGCTCCCGTGTTGTGATGTCACACTGTCCCTGTGCTCCTGTGTTGTGATGTCACACCGTCCCTGTGCTCCCATGTTATGATATCACACTGTCCCTGTGCTCCCGTGTTGTGATGTCACACTGTCCCGCTGCTCCCGTGTTGTGATGTCCCTGTGCTCCCGTGTTGTGATGTTACATGCTGAGCTCTGTGAACAGGCGGTGACTCAGAGACAGTGATTTATGGCTCAGTTTGTTTTGCTCAGGCCCAAAGTGTCAAACTTCTGTGATTTTACAGCGTTTCACAAAAACACACAGAGTAAATGTCAGAGTTTCACCTGAAGCCATCGACTCCGGCTCTAATCTCTAATCTCTAATCTCTAACCTCCATCTTTGAGTCAGATCCAACTTCATGCTTAGAGCAGAAGCCAATGAGCGAAGATCATGTCACGGGAATAAGACGGAAAATGATAAAGAAGCTTGTATAAAAGCTCTAGCTTTAGCATAATAAAGAAGCTAGTATAAAAGCTCTAGCTTTAGCATAATAAAGAAGCTAGTATAAAATCTAGCTTTAGCATAATAAAGAAGCTAGTGTACATTTAGGATTAGGAGATACTTTTACATTCACAGTCAGTCCTACAGAAAAGACAGAGCTCAGAGTCCGATCTTAAACCAAAGTCTTGGGTTCGAACTCCTTTTGTCTCTCGGTGAAGACAATGTTGATGAAGAGTTATGCTGTGTTTGTTTTAGTTGGAGGCAAGAACATATTTCACGGCTCGGAAGGTCACGAGGCGACTCCGACTCTCTGCGGCGAAGGAAATATGACCCTTTTAAAAGTCTTTAAGTGATTCTGTGAGTGTCACGGCCTCGGGGAGGACCAGACCTGTTCCAACACAGAGACCAGAACGAGCCCCGGGGCCTCAGAGGGCCTGATTTGTGAGAGGTTGTCATCTGCAGGTTGTGGTCAGGCACGAGGGATGGTTAAAGGTGAAGAGGCGGTGGATTATATAATCTATAGATTAATATAATGTATAGTATATATAATGTATAGTATATATAATGTAGTGTATATATAATGTATAGTGTATATAATGTATAGTATATATAAAGTATAGTATATACAATTTATAGTATATATAATCTATAGTATATATAATGTATAGTTTATATAATGTATAGTGTATATAATGTATAGTATATATAATGTAGTGTATATATAATGTATAATATATATAGTGTATAGTTTATATAATGTATAGTGTATATAATGTATAGTATATATAATGTATAGTATATACAATGTATAGTATATATAATCTATAGTATATATAATGTATAGTTTATATAATGCATAGTATATATAATGTAGTGTATATATAATGTATAGTATATATAGTGTATAGTGTATATAATGTATAGTATATATAATGTATAGTATATAATATAGTATATATAATGTATAGTGTATATAATGTCTCGTATATATAATGTACAGTGTATATAATGTATAGTATATATAATGTATAGTGTATATAATGTAGAGTGTATATAATGTAGAGTGTATATAATGTATAGTATATATAATGTATAGTATATATAATGTAGAGTGTATATAATGTTGAGTGTATATAATGTATAGTATTTATAATGTATAGTGTATATAATGTATAGTATATATAATGTATAGTGTATATAATGTATAGTGTATATAATGTAGAGTGTATATAATGTATAGTATATATAATGTAGAGTGTATATAATGTATAGTGTATATAATGTAGAGTGTATATAATGTATAGTATATATAATGTATAGTATATATAATGTAGAGTGTATATAATGTAGAGTGTATATAAAGTATAGTATATATAATGTAGAGTGTATATAATGTATAGTATATATAATGTATAGTGTATATAATGTAGTGTATATAATGTATAGTATATATAATGTAGAGTGTATATAATGTATAGTATATTTAATGTATAGTGTATATAATGTATAGTATATATAATGTATAGATTAATATAATGTAGAGTGTATATATTGTAGAGAATATATAATGTATAGATTAATATAATGTATAGTGTATATAATTTATAGTATATATAATGTAGAGTGTATATAATGTATAGTCTCTCAAATGAGTTTTTATTCTGTTTTTATTGGACTGAAATGCTTTAAAATGTGAAAAGAACAGAACTCTGCAGGTTTTAGGGAGAGGGAAAGAGACACACACACACACACACTGACACACAGACACACACACACACACACACACACACAGCTCCTGACCCTGAGCTGCTTCTGTCCCAGGTTCATGAAGAGGACGTGACCTTCACAAAAATGTCGTCGGTGAAGAAAGACAACAACCTGCAGCAAAAGACTGGGACTAAAACTACAGTATGAACAGAAGGAGTTTGGTTCTAGTCCCAACTGTTCCCACAGGTCTGAGTCTGAGTCTAACTCTGATGTTTAAGACCAGAGAGAGACCAGAGAGAGACCAGGGAGAGAGACCAGAGAGAGACCAGAGAAAGAGACCAGAGAGAGACCAGAGAGAGAGACCAGAGAGAGACCAGAGAGAGACCAGAGAGAGAGGCCAGAGAGAGACCAGAGAGAGACCAGGGAGAGAGACCAGAGAGAGGCCAGAGAGAGAGGCCAGAGAGAGACCAGAGAGAAAGACCAGAAAGAGACTAGAGAGAGGGACCAGAGAGAGACCAGAGAGAGACCAGAGAGAGGCCAGAGAGAGAGACACCAGAGAGAGGGACCAGAGAGAGACCAGAGAGAGGCCAGAGAGAGAGACCAGAGAGAGGGACCAGAAAGAGACTATAGAGAGAGACCAGAGAGAGAGACCAGAGAGAGAGACCAGAGAGAGACCAGAGAGAGAGACCAGAGAGAGAGGCAAGAGAGAGACCAGAGAGAAAGACCAGAAAGAGACTAGCGAGAGAGACCAGAGAGAGAGACCAGAGAGAGACCAGAGAGAGATCAGAGAGAGACCAGCGAGAGAGACCAGAGAGAGGCCAGAGAGAGAGACCAGAAAGAGAGACCAGAAAGAGACTATAGAGAGAGACCAGAGAGAGACCAGAGAGAAAGACCAGAAAGAGACTAGCGAGAGAGACCAGAGAGAGAGACCAGAGAGAGACCAGAGAGAGACCAGAGAGAGAGACCAGAAAGAGACTATAGAGAGAGACCAGAGAGAGAGACCAGAGAGAGACCAGAGAGAGACCAGAGAGAGAGGCCAGAGAGAGACCAGAGACAAAGACCAGAAAGAGACTAGAGAGAGAGACCAGAGAGAGAGACCAGAGAGAGACTAGAGAGAGGCCAGAGAGAGAGACCAGAGAGAGACCAGAGAGAGATCAGAGAGAGACCAGAGAGAGAGACCAGAAAGAGACTATAGAGAGAGACCAGAGAGAGAGACCAGAGAGAGACCAGAGAGAGAGACCAGAGAGAGACCAGAGAGAGAGGCCAGAGAGCTAGATCAATGAGAGATACCCGAGATAGAGAGACAGAGACCGGAGGCGTTAGACCTGAGAGAGAGAGAGGGAAAGAGAGAGAGAGAGAACACTGGTAAACCACAAACAACTTTTTTAAAACGTGGGAAATCAGCCGGGGATTTCCAGATGTAGTGATGAGGCTGAAGGACCTCGTGCGGCTCCTGGCTCGGTCCCAGCCCGGTCCTGGCCGGTCCTGGCCCCGACTCGGCCTCGACTCCTCTCAGCTGAGGTCTGCATCCAGGAAGACACACTTATCTCACGGATTAGTCCATGAGTGAAGGTTCTGTTGCCCGATTTCATCAAATGTCAAAGCGTCACAATCCGTCGGTTGTTCTGTATCTCTCTGAGTGGACGTCTTGTGGTCGTCTCCGCTCCGACTACACACATGTGATGATAAATACACACTGGAGGGTAAACCAACACACAACAATCACTGCCTCTGTTGCCCTTCGCTCTGGATGTTTTTCTGTTTTTTAAGTTGCCATTTGCCTATTTTCAGTATTTAATGTTCTTTTTATTACTGCTCTTCTACATGTTTAAAGCTTTACCATCGGGGACAACAAAAGAACCACAACTGAGGTCTCGATCGACAACGTCAGGACTGGATCTATACACACAATATCAAGATTTAGAGGGGTTTTTCCAGTCCCTCCAGTCTCTCTCTTTCTCTGATTCCTCTCTGGCCTCTTTCCGGTCTCACTCTGGTCTCTCACTCTCTCTGATCTCTTTCTTGTCTCTCTCTCTCAGTCTCTCTCTGATCTCTTTCTGGTCTCTCTCGCTCCGATCTCTCTCTGGTCTCTCTCTGGTCCCTCTCTGGTCTCTCTCTGGTCTCTCTCTGGTCTCTCCCTCTGGTCCCTCTCTGGTCTCTCTCTCTGGTCTCTCTCTGATCTCTCTCTGGTCTCTCTCTCTGGTCTCTCTCTGGTCTCTCTCTGGTCTCTCTCGCTCCGATCTCTCTCTGGTCTCTCTCTGGTCCCTCTCTGGTCTCTCTCTGGTCTCTCTCTGATCTCTCTCTCTGGTCTCTCTCTGATCTCTCTCTGGTCTCTCTCTCTCTTGTCTCTCTCTGGTCTCTCTCTCTCTCTCCGGTCTCTCTCTCTCTCTGGTCTCTTTCCAGTCTCTCTCTCTCAAACATGTTTCAGAAATGAGTAAATAATACTTTCATTCATTCGGGCAATCATATTGGCAATTTTTTTTGTTTTATTCTAAGCAGCATTTTACTTATTTTCACTTATTTTCTTTCTAATTTTTTCACGGCATTTTCTCCAGTGGCTGTAGAGGTGCAGGTAGAAGCCTGTCTGTTGTGCGTCTCCTCCACCTCGGCACAGGAAGCCTCTGCTTTATCTTACCCACTTCTTCTATGAGCTGTGTGCGTCTGTGGACACACACTGGACACACACTGGACACGCACTAGACACGCACTGGACCATTCATCAGTCACAACACAAAGGTCTGAGATACGGTGGATGGGTGTATGACAGCAGGTCTGGTGAACAAGCACGCACTTTGGACCAGAGCCACGGAATTCTACACACACACACACCGACACACACACACACACACACACACTTATCCAGGAGTGTGCCCCTCCTTGTCAGCTGAGTGGTGCTTTGCTTTGATCTTGACACTGTGGGTCAGATCCAATCCCCCGTGTACTCTCTCGTGTACTCTCTCTTCCTCTCTGCCGTGGTCTCTGCCGTGGTCTTTGCCGTGGTCTCTGCCGTGGTCTTTGCCGTGGTCTCTGCCGTGGTCTCTGCCGTGGTCTCTGCCGTGGTCTCTGCCGTGGTCTTTGCCGTGGTCTCTGCCGTGGTCTCTGCCGTGGTCTTTGCCGTGGTCTTTGTCGTGGTCTTTGCCGTGGTCTCTGCCGTGGTCTCTGCCGTGGTCTTTGCCGTGGTCTCTGCCGTGGTCTCTGCCGTGGTCTTTGCCGTGGTCTTTGTCGTGGTCTTTGCCGTGGTCTGGTCTCTGCCGTGGTCTCTGCCGTGGTCTTTGCCTTTGCCTGGTATCTGCCGTGGTGTTTGCCGTGGTCTCTGCCGTGGTCTCTGCCGTGGTCTCTGCCGTTGTCTCTGCCGTGGTCTTTGCCGTGGTCTCTGCCGTGGTCTCTGCCGTGGTCTCTGCCGTGGTGTTTGCCGTGGTCTCTGCCGTGGTCTTTGCCATGGTATCTGCCGTGGTGTTTGCCGTGGTCTCTGCCGTGGTGTTTGCCGTGGTCTCTGCCGTGGTCTTTGCCATGGTATCTGCCGTGGTGTTTGCCGTGGTCTCTGCCGTGGTCTTTGCCGTGGTCTTTGCCGTGGTCTCTGCCGTGGTCTTTGCCGTGGTCTTTGCCGTGGTCTCTGCCGTGGTCTTTGCCATGGTATCTGCCGTGGTGTTTGCCTTGGTCTCTGCCGTGGTCTTTGCCGTGGTCTCTGCCGTGGTGTTTGCCGTGGTCTCTGCCGTGGTCTTTGCCATGGTATCTGCCGTGGTGTTTGCCGTGGTCTCTGCCGTGGTCTTTGCCGTGGTCTTTGCCGTGGTCTCTGCCGTGGTCTTTGCCGTGGTCTTTGCCGTGGTCTCTGCCGTGGTCTTTGCCATGGTATCTGCCGTGGTGTTTGCCTTGGTCTCTGCCGTGGTCTTTGCCGTGGTCTTTGCAGTGGTCTCTGCCGTGGTCTTTGCCGTGGTCTCTGCCGTGGTCTTTGCCGTGGTCTCTACCGTGGTCTCTACCGTGGTCTCTGCCATGGTCTTTGCCATGGTCTCTACCGTGGTCTCTACCGTGGTCTCTGCAGTGGTCTTTGCCGTGGCCGGTCTCCCTGCAGCCTCCTCCGGGTCCGGCTCCACCGCCTCGGGCTGTTTAGGTTCTGGAGGGATCCCAACTTCCTCCTCTAATCATGACATCATCTTGGCTCAATGGGTTAAAGATGTGGCGAGGATATTCCCCGCTTCCTTGTTCCGCGGCTCGCCATGATGTGTGTTACCGTGGCGGGCCGGCGCTGCAGACGGCGTTCGGACAAAGCTGCGCAGACTGATGTGGAAAGAATGCACGTAAATATTGTTTCAAGATGCGTAAACTAAAGCACAGCCGGGTTTACCGTGGACTGTGTGGTTTCCTTTTGGCTGCAGCAGAGATTTGTGAATGAGGTCATGCTCCGTGTGTTTACAGACCTCTCTGGTCTCACTCTGGTCTCTAGCTCTGGTCTCTGGTACCTCTCTGGTCTCTATCTGGTCTCTATCTGGTCTCTCTCTGGTCTCTCTCTCTGGTCTCTATCTGGTCTCTCTGGTTTTTATTTGGGCTATCTCTCTGCTCTCTCTCTTTGGCCTCTCTCTCGTTTCTGTCCCACTTGTCTCATTCTCAGGTCTCCCACTCTCTCTCTGGTCTCTATCTGGTCTCTCTGGCCTCTCTTCGGTCTCTCTCTCTGGTCTCTCTCCCACTTGTTTCTCTGGTCTCTCTGGTCTATCTCTGGCCTCTGTTTCTGGTCTCTCTCCCTTGCCACTCTCTAATGTCTCTCTCTCTCCGGTCTCTCTTCCTGGTCTCTCTCTAGTTTCTGTCCCACTTGTCTCTTTCCCAGGCCTCTCCTCTGTCTCTCTCCAAACTCTGTCTCCTTTTCGGTCTCTCTCTCCGGCCTCTCTCCGATCTCTTTAATGTCGCTCTCTCTTTCTCTGGTCTCTCCCATCTTTCCACTCTACACCCTTGTTTCATGAATGTGTTTTCCGACCCCTACAGCAGCAGCTCTCTCCGGCCAACACAGTAGATTCTGATGGTATTTTTAGCCCTGGGTTGGTCTCGTTGTGGACGGGCCTTGAACACATGTCTGGAGATGGTTCCATGAGTGTGAGGGAGATTGGCCGATGAGGTAATGCCAGAGTGCTGCTTCAGTAGGACGTCCCAGACCCTGCCGTGATTAAAGGCCCCGCTGATTAGAGGTGAAGAGTGGCCCTGGCCCGGCCGCTCTGTCGATAGCTGTTAACGTCACTCCCAGCAGCTCGCCTAATCTCGCTAAAAGTCTCTCCCATTCGCTGAGCTCGCCGTGCCTTTCCTCCACTTCGGCCCGGCCCGGTCCAGTCCGTCTCACCTCCTCGTGACAACACATCAGCGCTAAGTGGACGATGAGAGAGATACAGATTAGAAGCTAAGCAGAGAGAAAGACCAGAGAGAGAGACCAGAGAGAGACCAGAGAGAGAGAGACCAAAGAGAGAGACCAGAGAGAGACCAGAGAGAGACCAGAGTGAGAGACCAGAGAGAGACCAGAGAGAGACCAGAGAGAGACCAGAGAGAGACCAGAGAGAGACTAGAGAGAGGCCTCCTTGTGGAAACACATCAGCGCTAAGTGAACGATGAGAGAGATACAGATTAGACGCTAACATCTGCGCCGGGTCGTCGAGTGTATAATGACACCAACTCTTTCACTGATACGGCGTCGCTTTGATCTGTCCCCGACCCATTTCCTCTTTTAATTGATTCTACTTCATCTGGAAACATAACAGGGTTTTGTTATTCTGGCAGAAAACAACCATCGTTATCAGAAGATGTGTGGTTTTTATGAACGCACAATGTCAGAGATAAATGAGTTCACTTTCAGTCTGAAGTATTTTGTTTTGTTTATGTGAGAAAGGAATCAAAACTCTCCTCGTTATACAGTCTGAAGCCTCAGTCCTGGGTCCACAGCCTCATTCCTGGATCTACAGCCTCAGTCCTGGGTCTTCAGCCTCAGTCCTGGGTCTACAGCCTCAGTCCTGGGTCTTATCGGGGGTAGATAGAGTTTCGTTCTTGCAGTCCTTGTCATTAGTGGGGGCCCCGTCACCTGTCGCTGCCGCAGTTAATGGCGGCTCTCAGGGGCCTCGCTAAAAGAAGAGTTGACTCCGCACCTCCCGCTCCCGAAACCCGACCTAATTCTTATCCCACAGAGAGAAGCTTTTAGCCTAATGCTGGACAGAAAAACAAAAGTCGAAGCCGTTGAAAGTAGCGCTGCCAAAACATCGCGTTAACGTAATTACTTTTTTCATAATCGCATTAAAAAAAAAAAATAACGCCTGTCCGAATGACCTGCCCACGGTCTCTCTCTGGTCTCTCTCTGGGCTCTCTCTGGTCTCTCTCTGGTCTCTCTATCGTCTCTCTCTGGTCTCTCTCTGGTCTCTTTCTCTGGTCTCTCTCTGGCCTCTCTCTCTGGTCTCTCTCTAGTCTCTCTCTGGTCTCTCTCTCTGGTCTCTCTCTCTGGTCTCTCTCTCTCTCTCCCTCTGGCCATATACTTTTGCTTCGACTTGAGTTTGACTTTGTGTGATCTGGTCTTAAACCGGTCTTAAACCGGTCTTAAACCGGTCTTAAACAGGTCTTAAACCGGGTCCCTGAGTGTGCAGGGAGCCGGCGGAGAACAGGCGTGTGTTTTACATTATGGTAAAGAGGCTGAACCTGAACAACCTCTACCTCAGAGTCTGCTACAGCCGCTTCTCGTGCTCTTCATCTCCATCTCTCCTTCTGTCTCTCTCCTTCTGTCTCTCTCCTTCTGTCCCTCTCTCTCCTTCTGTCTCTCTCTCTCCTGCTCTCTCTCCCTCTCTCTCTCCTCTCTCCCCGTCCTGACAATCAAAGCATTCCTGGGCCACAGACAGCCGGTGTTACGGTGTTTTCCGATGTCTTGTTAGCTTTGTGGCCCTTACAAGAATATCTCCGGTTTTATTTACAAAATGAGAAAAGTGGGAGAGCGTCTGTGGCAGTAGGGGCCCTCGGAGTCCTCGGAGCCCTTGGAGCCCCCGGAGCCCTCGGAGCCTGCTGGTCCCACTCCGGGCGCTCGCAGACTTCTGGGCGCCCGCTACAGTGAAGATCAGAGGCCCCGATAACCTGGGCCTGATTTATGGAGAGCGGCCCCTGCCATCGCCTAATGAGCAGGAGAGAGAGAGCACAGCAGCTGGGGTCTCTCTCCTCATGAGCAGGAGAATAGCGCAGCGGCTGGGGTCTCTCTCCTCACGGCTCTGTCCTCAAAGCAGAACTGAACCCTCATCTTTAGACAAACGGAAAAAATACAGAAGTTTGTGAAAGACGTTTATTTCACTAAGATTCTAGATCAGAAATAAACAGAAAATTTGTATTATTATTTATTATTTATTATTATTATTATTTCTATTGTGTTTCTCTGTTTGTGTTGTTTATGTTTGAAATACTGAATACTCTCTTTTCATTAAGTGCTTTCTGAGGTTTCTCACCTTTTTACAACAGTTTTTTCATGACGGTTGTTTTTCCATCTTTCCCGTCCGAGGCCAGTCCAAGGTCAGTCCAGGGCCAGTCCAAGGCCAGTCCAGGGCCAGTCCAAGGTCAGTCCAGGGCCAGTCCAAGGCCAGTCCAAGGCCAGTCCAAGGTCAGTCCAAGGCAGTCCAGGACCAGTCCAAGGCCAGTCCAAGGTTAGTCCAGGGCCAGTCCAAGGCCAGTCCAAGGCCAGTCCAAGGCCAGTCCAAGGTCAGTCCAAGGCCAGTCCAAGGTTAGTCCAGGGCCAGTCCAAGGCCAGTCCAAGGTCAGTCCAAGGCCAGTCCAGGGCCAGTCCAAGGTCAGTCCAAGACCAGTCCAAGGTCAGTCAAGACCAGTCCAAGGCCAGTCCAAGGCCTGAAATGTGTTCATATGTGTGTGAGTGAGTTTGTGTATGTTTTCATGGTCTTGCGGCTGTGTGTCTGTGTGTCTGTGTGGCTGTGTGTTTGTGTGTCTGTGTGTCTGTGTGTCTGTGTGTCTGTGTGGCTGTGTGGCTGTGTGTCTGTGTGGCTGTGTGTCTGTGTGTCTGTGTGGCTGTGTGGCTGTGTGGCTGTGTGTCTGTGTGGCTGTGTGTCTGTGTGGCTGTGTGTCTGTGTGGCTGTGTGGCTGTGTGGCTGTGTGGCTGTGTGTCTGTGTGGCTGTGTGTCTGTGTGTCTGTGTGGCTGTGTGGCTGTGTGTCTGTGTGGCTGTGTGTCTGTGTGGCTGTGTGTCTGTGTGGCTGTGTGTCTGTGTGGCTGTGTGTCTGTGTGGCTGTGTGTTTGTGTGGCTGTGTGTCTGTGTCTGTGTCTGTGTTTGGGCCCCTCACTTGGTGACCACGCACCTTCTCCTATTATTCATGTGTCTGAAATAAAAAAGGTCAAAGGTTCTAAATGTGTTGGAATGATGAAGAGAGCAAGTCATTTACTCAACACCAATGCTCTTAGATTATTGTATCGTTCTTTCATCATGTCATATTTTAATGACTGTGTTGAAGTGTGGGGAAACTGCTACAAATCCCACTTACAGCCTCTGATCACTGCAGAAAAAGGCTAATAAGGCTCTAATGTTCACTACAAACATCACACTTATCCCCTGTTCATAGAGCTAGAAGAATGATTCACTTTAAAACTGCTCAAATTATGTTCAGGGCATCGGAAAACTCTCTTCCTCCAAATGTTCAGAACTTATTTGATGACAGAGACGTGCATAATAGTCACAGACTAAGAGGAAATAAACATTTTTACTTGCCTAATTTTAGGACCACTTTAAAGTCGATGTGTGTCTCAGTGCGAGGAGTTACTCTGTGGAACACATTCATGGATGAACTAAAACATTTTACAAACCTGATTCAATTTAAAGCTTTGTTCAAAAAATATGTACTAAAGAAATACAAGGAGGAAAGAGAGAGATGCCCTCAGCACAGAGCAGGTGTGTGTGTGTGTGTGTGTGTGGGTGTGGGTGTGTGTGTGTGTGTGTGTGTGTGTGTGTGTGTGTGTGGGTGTGTGTGTGTGTGTGTGTGTGTGTGTGTGTGTGTGTGTGTGTGTGTGTGTGTGTGTGTGTGTGTGTGTGTGTGTGTGTGTGCGTGTGTGTGTGTGTGTGTGTGTGTGTGTGTGTGTGTGTGTGTGTGTGTGTGTGGGTGTGGGTGTTTTTGTTGATGTTTTCTTTTCTTTTTTTATTCTTTGTATACCATTGGTAATAGTATTGTATTGAAATTGTAGTGAAATGTACAGTAGTACTCTTGTATACCATTGGTGGTAGTTTTGTATACATGGTAGTATTTTGCAATGTGATTTTCTAAATTCTACTTGATTATTTTGACCTATGTTGTGTGGGTGAGAGGGTTGGGCTAAAATAAGCATAATGCTTCATCCAACCCCTTTTCAAACCTTCAAACATATGTGTCTGAACATTTGTAAATTGTGTTTCCTGTACAGGTTTGAAATAAATAAATAATTCAGTTCAATTCAAGGCCAGTCCAGGGCCAGTCCAAGGCCAGTCCAAGGTCAGTCCAAGGCCAGTCAAGGTCAAGTCCAGGACCAGTCCAAGATCAGTCCAAGGGCAGTCTAAGGCTAGCCCAGGGCCAGTCCAAGGCCAGTCCAAGGCCACTGTGGAGAAAGAGTCATTTTCTGCCATAGAAAGTGAGTTACAAAATGGAGCAGTAAAAATGAAATAAGATACTTTCATAGAAATATATTGACAATATTGAAAAATCACGTAAAATAAAATACATAAAGAAACCAAAAAGACAGAGTTATTACACTATAAATCCCGAGCCGTCAAATTGACTGCTCTGGCTGTTGTCGACAACTGTACTTTCAGTCACAGACACAGATCCTGTCTTTATGATCGACCTGACTGTGGAATAATGTCTGATCTCACTCTGCCCTTCAAAGAACAACAGTTTGCGCTACACCCCCCCCCAACAGAAAATCACTCACTTTCATACAATCCGTCGCGCTCCCTTCCTGCGCACGGCCGGGTGTGAGGGCGGCCATTGTGTGCTAATTCTGTCCCATTATTTGCTTTAACAAACGTGCAATGGGCAGAGTCACTTTCACATTAATAGTTTGCGCCTCGAGGGGAAGTTGTCCCCCTCATCGTGGATCAAAGGTCTCCTCTATTGTGTCCAACTTCCTGTTTCTCTTTTTAGAGCTGTATATTGTTCCTTCTCACTCTTTAAGCCTGAGGCAGAGACCGCTGTGAGACAAGCTGAAGAGGTGCCCTTTAACTCTGCTCCACCGCATCCTCACACCATCAATCTGACACTGTTAGCATTGTTAGCATCCTCACACCATCAATCTGACACTGTTAGCATTGTTAGCATCCTCACACCATCAATCTGACACTGTTAGCATAGCATTGTTAGCATCCTCACACCAT